AATCGAGCAGATGTTATCACAAATACATAAAAAGATGCCTAAACAATCACATTCAAGAACACAAATCATCTATATTATCTTACCGCATAGTTCAGATTAAAGAATGTTCCTAAAACTGCTCCAATCAGATTAACAATTGCAAAATAAAGTAGATTTGATTGATTCACTTTTGCAATATATGTATACATTCTTTGAATATCATAAGGTACAGTTAAAATGATAAATACTATTACACGAATAAGTATCATTGCTGTTAATTGTTGATCAAGTCTTCGTCGAACTATTGGTACTTGCCTTCGAACTATTCGTCTAACATTATTATATGCTAAAATACTAAATACTGATGCAATAAAAACAGGTAGAAATCCAGATAGAACTGGATAATAAAAATAAGACAAATAGTTAGTCATATTTTGATTAAATACAGCACAAACAGATGATCGAATTTCAAGAAATATACCAAATGGTATAGTATGTAATATTGAAATGATAACTGATGTACATATAAGAAATGTGGCTAATTTGATTGTCGTTAATTGTCTCAGATAGAAGACATGGCTTGTGGAAAGATATTGATGAGAAGCAGAGAAGCATATTGTAGAAAATGAAATAAGTGTGCATGATGAAATTATCATGCTTCGGAATTTACACCAGAAAAGTGATGAACCAGCTGGATCAGTTTGATATATTGCTGGAAGTTGATAAACAAGAGCGAATGTAGTTAGTTGAATTATGTTTGCGATTGATTCTGTGACAACATAGAGTACACATTGATTGTTTCGAAAGAGTTTTAATGTAGTAAAAATAAGAATATTAAGTAGATTTCCAATTGTACCAATGGCAAATATAAAAGAAGTACTGTAGAGTGAATATTGTTGAGTAAAACGAAGAATATCGATAGCCATGGATGAAGTCATTATGGTGCAAATAAAATCATGTCTTTACTAACGACGCTTTCTTAGTCTTTTCTCTCTTTTAAAAAAATAAAATTAATTTATGTATATCCTTCAGGACTTAGAGAAGCGCATGTTTGTTCTTGATAAGAGAGTAATTATTTTATTATGCCACGATAAAATATTATATTTTGTAGATGACATAGAAGAAAATACTTTTACAGACAAATGACTTTACTCGTTGAGTATTCCTTGAGAAATTTTTAAAAAATAAGATTATTTGGCAGTGCAATTAATTATCTAACGTTACTACAATGTATAGTTTATAATCATTTTTACATATAATTGTCTTGAATACCTGTAGATGTAAAAAAAGTTTATCATCTTTCGTAAGTCATAAAAAATAAATACAGTTTATTTTTAACAATGAATTTGATGCCGTTGTGAATAAACTTGTATTACAAAAAAGACAACAATAATAATACCATGAAATGTGGCATTTGGAGATGTATATATATGCATTTTTTAGTAGATAATTTAATCATTGTTGTCGGTTCAAAAGAATTTATTGATGCTGAAGGATCTTGAGCTTGCAGTTTTCATTAGCGAATGTATATGACCTTCAACAATAAATACAGATCATTCTTTGACGATTTTCAATTATTTAAACGAGTTGGATACTTTCGAAATATTCCATGAAGAAATATTAAGGCATTTATATGACTGAAATAAAACAACTGTATACTCTTTGACTGGGCTTAGAAAAATTTATAATTGACATTATGTTAATTAGAATACACTTTTACTTTTAATATATTGTTAATTCTAGATGAAAATTTTATATTACTCGTAATGTGTTTATAAATAGAAAGAATTACAAAATCTAGCGGTTAACAGCCGACAGTTTTTTGACATAAAAACAATAAAGTTATTCCATATTGGAATATCTAAATGAAGACTATCTTAAAAAGAAACTTTAAAGAGATATTTCTTCATCGAAATTAATAATAAGCATGAATACAATCATCTGTTTTTATCTTATTCAAAAACATTAAAGCTGGGTTTTGTATTTTAAGTATATAGATCATTTCTCTCCCCATAACATTTGAACAATTTGAAATATCAAAAAATTATACATCATAATTTGATATTAAAGTGAAATGATGGATATTTAAACGCGCAAAAGTGAGAAACTACTCATGTCTACATATATATAACATTTGAGAAAATATGTAGTAAATATTCTTTATCATTACTATGATCAATAAGAATTTTTCAATGTAATCATTCAAGAGAAGGCAGTTTTATATGATTATTATCTTCTCTTGATTTTGGATTTCTACTAAACAGCAGAAACTATCATTTATAATACATTGTTATCGACATTTTATGCATTTTATTTCGAAATATATAATAATAATAATAATAATAATATATTACGCGTTACAAACAATAGAATAGATTAAATATTAAAAGAAGATGTGTACATGTTTTCAGTAAAAATTCGATGTCCAATATTTTTATTGTACCACTACACTTGAAGTAAGTGACCCTCTCATGCCAAATGGATGAACTTTATTGTTATTATTAAAAAAACATCGTTTACATCGTCCCCAACATTTCTTCACTAGAACACGTTTCACTTGTCGACGAAATCGTACAGATGTTGTGAGAAATACGTAAAAAGATATCTATAAACAATCATATTTAAAAATGTAAATCATCTATAATATCTTACCGCATAGTTTAAATTAAAGAATGTTACTAAAATTGATCCAATGAGATTGATGATTGCATAATAAAGTTGATTTGATTGATCGACTTTTGCAATATATGTATACATTCTTACAATATCATATGGTAATGTTAAAACAATAAACATTATAATACGAATAAGTATCATTGCAGTTAGTTGTTGATCAAGTCTTCGTCGAACTACTGGCATTTGTTTTCGAACTATTCGTCGAACATTATTATATGCTAAAATACTAAATACTGATGCAATAAGAACAGGTAAAAGTCCAGATAGAACTGGATAATAGAAGTAAGATATATAATTCAACATATTTTGATTAAATATAGCACAAACAGATGCTTGGATTTCGATAAATATACCAAATGGTATGGTTTGTAACATTGAAATAATAACTGATATACATATAAGAAATCTTGCTGTTTTAATTGTAGATAATTGTCTTAAATAGAAGTGATGACTTGTAGAAAGATATTGATGGGAAGCAGAAAAACATATTGTGGAAAATGAGACAAGTGTACATAATGAAATCATCATACCACGAAATTTACACCAGAAAAGTGATAAATTAGCTGGATCAGTTTCATTGACCTGTATTAAAATATTCATAAGAAAAAATAAGATTAATTGTATTGTATTTGCAATTGATTCAGCTGTAAAGTAGAGTATAGATGGATTATTTCGAAAGTGTTTTAATGTAGTAAAAATAAGAATATTGATTAAATTTCCAATAAATCCAATACAAAATATAATAAGACTAGTATAGAATGTATATTTTTGGGTGAAAAGAGAAATATTACTAATTGTTGAAGAGCTCATGATGAATTTATAAAAATGTTTTCTGTAGTCTGAAGATTTTATTTTAATTCTGTCGTTATGTATATATCACGTTTTGACAAAGGATTGCAATTCCATTATTTTTTGTTTTGAAACATTGAGAAAAAGTAATTATAATTTTCTGCGGATATAAGATCTTTTGTAGTTGTTTAATTTAAAAATATAATAGTACCTATTCAATAGATAGAATGTCATTTCCTAATGTATATTGGATATATCTGGATAGAATCGTTCTTGAATTTATCAGGATTCTACGTACATTTCAAAAATGAGAAAGAACTTATTTTACAGACAAAACAATGACTTTTTTGATAACATTGTTTACAATCAAACATGCCAATAATTTAAGTGTATTTGAATAAAGACTAAATACTATATTTTAATCTTGAGCATTCAGTATAGTCTAATGGTTCACAATAGTTATCTAAGTTTTATTGATATTAAAATGTGCCTTAAACTACACATTAGGATTTATTATCTCATTCAGTTACAATGTTAACAAAAACGAATCTCAAAATAATTTTAATATCTATGCTTTGTTTATAAAATAAATAGTACCGCGAGTTTTTATATCTG